TTAATTTTGTCTTTTAATCGGTTCATATTATATTTCATATACAAAAACAACAACAACCTATCGCCGTCCACTGCTGAACGTAAGATTATTAAACATGATTTTATTCATACAGATTTTGTATTTTTGACATAAAAGGTATATATATCATCTTTGCAGTGAGATTGAGGAAACATTAAATATCTCATCTCAAACACGGTGCAAAGCACCCGTTTTTTTTAAAGTAGGTACACATTCAGCGCCGAAGTAAGGTCGGTCATGTTTTCATTTGCCGAAACGCTTCGTCCCGACGCGGCCACGAAGTTTATGCATGTTCATAACAATGAGTTTTTCAACGTCTTTGCCTGTTTGCGAGTCGGTTCAAGATGCGCGGCGTGCTACCAGTGAATCAATTTCGGCCGGGAGATTATGGAAAATAAATCGTAAATTGATATAGGTAACCCTACGTAAGCTTTGTTTTCAAAAACTCTTGTTATTATTATTGCAATGAAAATTTTTATTATAACTTATGAACAAAAGAAACTGCGTTAATTACTCTACAGTGAGATTCACTATGACAAGCGTTTTCGTCCACGAGTTTCCGACTCCGTTTGGTTTCACTAGATGGCGTTACCGTCGTTTTCAGTTTGATGAAGTTAAGCTTACTCCATGTTAAAAGTTGATGCAGATTTTAGATGTTGAAGCAATAAAATCTCCATAAACCATCGTATTAAGTTTGCGTAAAATAAGTGTTGGAAAAATTATTTAATCGAACATAATTATCATGTTATTTTCTCATTACGATATAGCTATAATTTATAGTAGTCCATTCATCACTTGTTTATTAAAAATGTTAATAATACGTTTATGCACAAATTTACAAACTCTTAAATAATAATATCTTCATTAAAGTTAGTTTTAGATTAATAAATTATCGATACCTGCGTAGAATTCCATTAGTTACTGTTACACGAAGATAATTTTGAAAATTATTTTATCATATTACTTTTGTAATAAATATAGTAAATATATGTTTTTTTTACCTACTATTGAAACAAAGTAATCAATAATTTCTATAATAATAAGCAGTTAGGTGTTGTATCAATATTAATTTTATTATGGAGACACTTTTATAACATAGACAAGTTTTAATTAAAGTTATCGGTCAATGTGCAAGCGTCGGTACGGACTCAGGTTTGGGATCTAAGCCCGGTTAATCGAAAAAGACATATGGAGTAAATAAATAGAATAAATGGAAATTGATTACTTTACAATAAGCAAAATACACGCATAACGGTAAGTTTTTAAGTAGTAACGAACGTTCGTTTAGACACCATATTTATTTATAATGAAGAAAAACGATACAAAATTAGTTCACAAGATATTAGTTAGACAGAACCGCATCAGAAATTCGTCTAAAACCACTGGACGCGGCTCAGGAATGAGAAATTTTCAATTGAGAAACATTGGTAGTCGGAGCTAGACGAGTAGCAAAGAGGTCAAACAAACTTCCTTATTATAAACATATAAAAGGTAGTAAAGCCTTAGAGAGAGATGAATTAATCGCATAGGAACTCAATCGCACAAACATCACCATTGTTGCTAACCCAAGGCATGACTACTAAAGTGAACTGGATACGGGAACTGGCTAGCGAGTTGTTTACAATCAGATCAATCGAAAGCCAACCGATCTGTTTACCCTCGTGCTTCGTGGAAACCACACTAACGGTTCTCCGTCATCGCTTCGTCATCCGCAGAGCTTGACGCGAAGCAGCAATTGGCGGGCGATTAGAATAACCTAACCTAATACCTGGTTATTTTAAACGCCCCGTCAACTTCTGCCTAAACAACGCCGTGGTGCCTAAGTGCTGACTGGCTCATGCCTAAAATATCATTCCCGCGTCTTTTGATTAGCACAACAAAATGCTAATCGAATCATTAATGATTAATTTTAGGACAGTTGATTGAGGGAAACCTAATCAAAATTTGTTATAGTATAGATAAACTTAGGATCGAGACGCATTGATAGTACTCTATGTAAATTAGCTAGACACGACTGGAAAGTCAATAGAACAATAAGAAAGTATTGTTGAAGGTAATAAAATGACTACATTTTGCCAGGAGTGTCAGAATCATTTTTATTAAGAAAGCTTTCAGGTGCCTTTCTGTAGAACTGAATTTTTTTTTAATGTAAAAAGTACCACGGTCTTACAGAAGGCCGGCGTGAAGTCGAAGTATAACATTTTCGTGTTTCGTTTGGTGATTTAGGTAATCGGGGCACACTTTTAAATAGACTAGCAACGCATCTCCATCGTGATAATCACTTAATATTGTAGAGCCGCCTGCTAGCTTGCTCAATTTTCAAGTAAAAAGAAATAAAATCATAAATATCTCTCATGTTATCAATTGAACTGTAGAACAATTTACCAGCAGACACCTAAGAAGACCGTTTTCATATCATATAAAAGGTAATGCTAATGTTAATCACGGTGAAATTCATTTTTTCATATCATGGTCTACATTCATTGATGGCTGCCTACAACATGTTTCTCAAATTGAAAGTAAACTGATTATAACAGAAATATTCTCATTCTCGAAACACAACTTTGCTGACATTCCTATCCTGTTATCAGCGGCACAGCAAAAAGTTTAATCCGTATTTCATTTCAAAATTTATAGAAGATTGGAAGAAAGTCTGAAGTCTTACGGGAATTATAATTTACCAACGATTCGCAAATCGACACTTCAACAGTCCCGATAAACAACGGCCAGAAGCTTTGCGATGAAATCAATACTTAGATAATCTAATCTCATGATAATATTACATTCATTAGTAAAGTATTACAGCAAGCAAATGTTTTAGTATCTTCTGTACCGAGTTCAATGCGGTTTGCTTTGACAACCGTTTTTATTTATTTAACAAACTTGTACAAAAGTTATCCAGCGCTTTTGACATTATTTGAAGACGTGGACGTAATAAAGCCGACGCTGATACCTACAATATAATTCCGCAGAATGGTTCCTATGATAGTTTTTAATTATGTTTAACTCCCTCCTAGTAAACTTGTATAATATTTTGAAGTTTATGAAATAAAAAACTCTTAAGAAGTCAGTGAGGTTATCAGCAAATCATCTAAAATGCAGCGAACGTCACGCCATTTTAATAGTGCTTTTATTGGTTTTATTTTAAGCATTACAAGATATTTGTTGTAGGAATTAAATTATAAAAGATATTTCTGTGTGTTTATATATTTTCTACTGAGTTTTTCTATAGGAGATTATAGCGTAGCTAAGTAGCATATACGAGCTTCACAAGGCGTTCTATCTTTTTAAAGCTTTCTACCGCAAAGCTGGGCTTATCCGCCAAGCATGCCTGCTTTAAGGCTAGATAGTTTATTCTCAAGTAAAGACCTAAGGAAGGTTAATTAAAGACACAAGAGCTTATACAATTTTATTATTGAACCCGTCGCCTCTTTACAACAATAACTCAGATTTAAAATTTTAAAATATTTCGTATTGTACATTTATTAAAGTTATATACGAGCTTACGCGGTGATTATTCTGTTAAATATAAATGTTATTCAAATGGTTCAAAAATTGATGAGATTGAAAATCAATTCTGAAGAACTCTTAAGCTATACGGTTAAAATTATATGTCATACAACAATTTAAAACAGATGTTTCAGTTAAATTTAGCCTGCGTGTTCAATATTTTATTTTTCATTGGACTAAATGACTTAGATAAACAAAATAAAGGTTTGCTACTAGGATTAAAGAGGTTTGATAGTATTGTACTTGTAGATTGAGACATACTATAACAGTTAATTTTGCATTATGTGCACAAATAAATTTGCAAAACAGTATTTAACGAATCACAGTTTAAAAAAGTATAAACGCACACATAAGTAATATTCACAAGTAATATACGTGTATCCTTTTTGAATTCATCATATAATTGCAAATATATTAAAGGTATCTAAATTCCAATCAAAAACTTAAGCCGTTCTATTGGACCTTGTTAACATTGCTAAGCTATCAATCATATCAATTTTTTTTTGTCTCCGTGTCCAAAAGGCCTTATATATCTTGAAATTTTATATTTGATGTTCGTTAAACGTTTTAACAATTAGTTAAAAATAAAGTAAGGTGTTTTAAAATGAACGTTATTATTTTGTAACTTTACGTATAACGCAACTTATATGCATACATACGTTAATTATTATTTGTTCCACAATTAAGATACTCCAGTACTTATACATTTAAATATGTTTATTTTTATGAATGTTATTTAGCTGTATAATACATCAATGTCAAATTCTATCCGTTGAACTGTAGAGACGTGTATAAATTAATTACGCTTTCGAAACATTTAATGAATGTATTCAGAACTTAATCGATTAATAGTAGCTAGAGGTCCGCTATATGCATATTCGGAACACAATGCATGCCGCACAAGTCATTGACGACTTCTCTTCTAGTTTGATAATAATGTCTTAACGGTTGCATCTACAAATAAATGATTCAACTAAATACAATTGCTGATACTATATACATTTATTTGATAAATTTCTTACATAACAACGTACGGTGAACCATTTGAAATACTCTCAATGATTTTAGTCGACTCTATTCGGTATCAGGAAGAGTCACGAATCAGATATGCGTTTGCGATTTCCGTCCTTACTGTCCCCTCACTGACCTGAATCATGAATGCTTCTTGGCTCGCGTTCAGCACAAACATACAAACACCAAACGGCACTGCGACACTGCACAGTACATTTCACACGCAACAATCCACGAGACGCGCGCGCGTGCGGAACATTTGCATAGCTCCCAGACAGCGCTGCGCAAACACGACCGCCTCACAGCAACCGCGACCGGACACTGGGCCTGTGCTGTGCCGAACGGGATGAAAGATACGCGGGGGCACGCGAGATCCGAAGGATGCAGAAGGAGCGGTACGCGACAGGACCCCGAAGAAAAGAGACGGCTACACTGCGTGACATTTAAAAACTGTGTCTTTACAGCGTCGCCCGCTCGGCCGCATTCTCGACTCTACGGCGTAGCGAATAAGGCGCACGTGTCTTGTTTGCCTTTCGATTGTCCTCTAATGCGTCGCTCGATTTAGGGCGGCTTGAGCTCGGCGCTAGAGGCGAGTGTGGAGCGCTGGCGAGTCGAGGATGGGGCTGTCGCAGTGTCGTTAATGGAAGAGTGCCGCCGCTGAGAGAGCGAGATGGAGGCGTGTGGTACAAGTGGGTGGGGGGGGAGGTGTCACCACGAGAGCTTTTAGGGACCGGGATGAGCATAGCCCACGGCTTGGATTCCGCCGCGTTAGTGCTGGGATTCGCCGCGAAGTACTACCTTTTTTTGTAAGTCCCTCGTTTAGATTAAACGCATCAGATACGAGTTCGATTTCCTTTTTTTTTAAATCGTGAAACACTTTTACACTTTTACATGCGAGGATGAATAAACAATTTTCGAACGGAATCGTTTTATCCCTTTTGTTACGTCGTTGTTCTATCCGCGCAATTCGTATCTGGATGATGTAGAAATATGTATTCAAAACAAATGTGTTAAGATTTGGACCAGATCATAATTGGGTTGTACATTTCCTTCCCTAAAAACTGTAAGAATAAATATTAAGGATAAGACGTAATATCGTAGACTCTAGACAAGGATACCGAATGGTTTTGGGAAAAAGAAGTTGACGATACAATAGTATTCTAATGGAATTAAGCAAAATAGAATTTAAATAAATTTGATAAATAATTAGATTAAATTTAATACCTAAATGATATAATTTAATAAAATAGAATTTAATGAACCCGATAATATTAAGATGTAAACCGTTCTATTATTGTACTTTATTATTTGAACACAATGGCACAGTCATAGCTGTGGCTATATTTGTAAGTCCGGAAAAGAGCTTTCAATCGAGATTGGTTAACAAAAACGCTATAACAGTGTATCTATATAACACTATTTTAATGTATGGGTATTACTTTCTCATAGATATTATGTTACTTTAATATATTTTATTGATTTCATTAAAATCGTAATGTTGTATAGTTATGATTCTTATCCCACAAGTTATCGTGTAGTTTAAACTTTAAAACAGAGATTACTTAATAATACTGATATTTATACATAGATTAAAAAACACTGGAATGGTATTGGGGTAAATAAATTTTGAATTAATAGAATTTTTAGTACATTTATGGGACGATTAAATGTTGAGCCGTGATAGTTCAGTGTCCAGCGCTTGCCTTTCATTCATTATACTCGAGCAACTCGCGTTCAAATCCCGGTGAATGAATGAATGAATGAAAAAAACATTGAATGTATCACGTGCTCTGTGGTGAAGGAACACATCATGAGTAAACCTGCATATTATTGTAATACCTAATAACAAAAAAAAATTCGGAGGGATGCGAAGTTCGCCAATCCGCAGTGGGGTCGCGTGGTGGACGTTGCCCTAATACCCTCTCTACAGAGGAGGCCTTTGCCCAACAGTGGGACATGTATAGGCTGATACTTTACTTTCTTTCTTATTTGAGCTATTCAATTGTTAGGGAACTGTAAAATTTTACGCCGTGATTGTGGGAGTGTCGATTTAGTTTTCGCTATGTTGTTCCCCGTTTAGAGCATATGGAGGTGATGATTACTGGCGATACTTCTGATTGTGAGTTACCTTTGCAAAACCAGTGTCTCATATTTTGGTCGTCAAATATTTGGGTTATGTTTTTCACAACGTTCCCAACTAAGCAAAGCTTGTACTATCGGTACTAGATAAATAATAAACATCCTTAAATGTACTTTTCTTTTTTAAATAAATACATACAGATAAATAAACACCCAGGCACTAGAAAAACTCTATGTTCATCGCACAATATTTTTCCAGTAGTGGTGATCGAATCTACACCCTCTGGCACAAGAGACAGGATCACTATCAATTACGCCAATTGGGTCATAAATAAATTCCTAATAAATTCCTAAAAGCCGTACCTAACATTGTGTGTTAAAAAGCTTTTTTCTGCGAGGCTTTTTTCGTAAGTTCAATCCAATTACATTTTTGTTAAACCATTTAATCTATAACAAGGAGGATGGCAAAAGCAAATACGCAGCATCGTAATTTTTTTGTCGCATCGGCAACTAATACAATTTTTTCACCGACACTTTCGAAATCGGCAAAGCGACTTCTACCAACAAGTGGCCCACCGACAAGTGGTTCACCGATCACCGACACAATGCGTTAGCGCCACCGTTCAATTCCCAATAATGGCCACAAAAGCGAGTGTCACCATTCCTTTTGTGTCCGACGGCGGGACAGTCCTTTGTCGGCGATCTCGGAGCGGAAAATCCGTTTATCCATTGTCATCAGTTTTTATTGCCACCCACGTTGGCGGGAGCGTGAATTTGTCCAGTGACGTATAGGATTATCTGTCGCCGCACTTTCCCGCCAATTTGTGCGCGGCTATAATCTGTGCAGGTTCGTTTTGATCCTTTTTTCTTTTCTATCTTTGCGATTATGACGCGGTTGAGTGGATTCTTTTCTTCAAAGTCAAAATTCTTTAATCAATTATGCCTTTTTCATTTTCAAATTTTGGCCCGTCTTTAGGGACCGATATTCACCACGCATTTTTCGTGATATGGAACGTTTGTTAGTAAAAGCGTTGATCTTTTTCTTTTGCGTTATTAAAGTTTTATGTGAATAGGTGGGAATCGAGCAGATGGTTCTACAAAAGAGTAGGGTCTGGTTACCTCACTCGCCAAACTAAACGCAAGAGTACTTCCACATTGCCCCTCTGTGATGCTGTGGTAATTCCCTGAAGCACCTAGAACATTCAAGTAGCAGAAGTGTTGTGTTGCTCTACCAAAGCCGTTTATTTTTGTTTACGAATCCCGACGTCTCAATCACTTTCAGCATTTAAGTTCCCGGGGGTGCTAATTAAATCGTAATGTAATCGCAAGCGACCATTTTTGGAATACCGAAATAAGCTGACAGTTAAATTGGACAAAATTACCGATAGGGGCAAATAGTCGGCTTCCTTCTATTTTCGTGTTCCTTCTATATCCAACTCGGATATGACGTAAAGCGGTACTCCCACCAATGGACCATATCCTACAATTATTGATGTACTGTATGCAATGTTTTCTGTACTATAATTGCTCAAGTACATAGCTTTCGTGTTAATAACTAAGGTTTTCGCTCTGCCTAATGTAACTTTAATAGACTAAAACGTTTTCGTGTCGACCCGCGTTTTGCGTAACGCTAACTAACGCCGCGGGAACCATTGTTCAAGAAAGACAGATTATCTTATCTCATTTATTTCATCTCAATTTTGTTAGATATTAATTTGATGCCAGAATATTAATTTGTGTATAAATTAACATGTCGGTTTTTATTATTTTGTTTTTTTATTGTCGGAACGCCATAGCTTCCATTCTTTATCAAATTTAATAACTCTTATAATATTTTAAAGATTATATTTATAGTTATTGACGCAATATAGACTAGAATGTAATTATGATCATGCCATCTATTGACAAGTCCTTTAAATGATAAATTTTGAGTAGAGTGCATAACGTAATTCTTTCTTTCTAAATAAGAAATTCTTAATTTCTAAATAAGATACCTAACAGATAAATAGTTATTAACATATTTTAATATCACTATTGCTGAACATAGCCCGCCCCAGAGATTGTGGTGAAGCACGATACTGAGCCACCTGCATCCATTATCTTTTCGCACATTTGCATAAGTCGTCACTTGTGCAAATGCTGTTAAATGTTCAGGAGTGAACTCTAACAGGCTTAATTGATGATGATGATATTACTTTGCGATAACTGATCAGGGTACTGTGCGAAAATTTATTACTATACGAATTTTCAAAAGGTTGTCAACGCATCTGTAACCTTCGGGTGTAGCAGATGTCCATGGGTGGCGGTGTTCACTTAACATCAGGTGACCCGTCTGCTCGTTTGGCAACTTTTCGCATAAAAAAAAATTAAAATGTCCGGTTAAGTTGCAATGTCAATAAAATAACGGTAACAATAATAATGTTTAGTTTTTGCATCAATAGCAAACTGCGTACAAAGTCTCGGGCCTATATAGGACAAACATCCAAACGTTTATTTATTACGTGTAAGTGGCAAAGTCTATTTGGATATCCATATCGTCCCGATGTTAAGGTCGTGGGTTTGAAACCGAGTACGTGCGCCAGTGAGTTTTCCGGATTTGAACTGTGGTCACTTCTCCAGCTATTGCGCTGTTAATGGGTTCGGTTCCCAGACGATAAAGTTTCCAGTCACGGTGCTACGTTCAGGTGTCTGGGTTTTGTTTCAGTAACTTACAACAAACTTATAACGGACTACACGGGTGTTTTTGCAAGATTCTTCATTCATTCTCAATCATTCATTCGATTCATTCTGAAACAAGAAAGTCACACCATTTTTGTCTGGTGTTCCTCGCTTCTTGACAGGTTTGGATCTAAATAAACCTGGAATTAATCAGAAGTACCAAATTAAACGTGGATATGGTAAGCAATATTTTTCTTTTCCGTTAGTGTTCACTAAGAGCTCCCAGTACCATCGCAATTTTATTGTTAACTTGAACTAATTTGGAGTTTTTAGCGCGATTTACTTGTATTTCTGGACGTGCCAAGTACTATAGCGTCAATGGTCACGGACTACACTGTGTCGATAATGGAGCGAAGTTAACCCGGCTACTAACAAAAATATATCAAAGTCTTTTATTCTACATACGTTTTGTAATTTGTAGTTTTTTAAAGAAAAACAAAAAAAAAATTAAAGACATCGCGACATCTGTGTCTCGGAATTGGAACGGAATTAGCCGGTTTATCGCTGGGAGATCACTAATGCCGACAGACACGCAATAAACTACATAACAGAATTCTCTACCCGCCCATTGGATTGGGAATATTAAAAAAAAAAAACGTCGTCACCTGTCGTGTCATTTGGCCCCGGCATACGAGCCGCCAAAGAAAACACGAAATCGGGGAAAAAAACATTGTATCGCCGAAAACTGACCGGGGTCTAACGATTCGCTTGCGGAACCCACCGTCACGTCTGATATAACCAGTTCAAATTTCAACTTTATTCGGTTAAACCAAAGTCTATTTCTGTTTGAAAAGAGACGGATATTTTCTAAGCGACAGTCGTATCAAATGCAATTCTATGTGTGTTGAGTTAAGGATGGTTTTCAATCGAAAGCCACGGCATTGTTTTAATTTTCACAAAAAGACAATTTTTTCGAAGCTAATCGTTTTGACTGACGAGAATTTACGACGTGATACTTTACTACGGACGGTATAAAACGTTGGTCCGACTTCATTAGTCGTGTTTTTGCTGCGATAGTTTCGCATTGTGAAGTAATGATGGGTTTTACTCCACCTTTTACTGTGATGGGACCTTCCGAATCCGAAATTACTTTAACTTTATCGCTGTTTAGGTAATAGTTCAAAATTTGTCAATGTCAAGGCCTTAGCGATCTGATGGAACGTTTAATTTGTTTGTGGTCGCTGTTAAAGATAGCGCTTTGTGCTCCTTTTTTTTTATAAAAGAATGTGGTAACTGGCTGGTTGTTCACCTGATGTTACGGCAGAACTATGGACACGCATAATACCATAGATATTGCAGACGTGTTGTCAACTACTGAGTGTGTTGGTTTCCGGCATTTCTATCTTACTAAGCAGAAGAAACTCAATAGTACTTGACCTTTATTTTTTTTTATGTTAAAAGTTGCCAAACGAGCAAACGATTCTTCACCTGATGTTAAGTGAAAACCGCCACGGACAACTGCTACACCCGAGGGTTGCAGATGCGTTGGCAACCTTTTGAAAATTGGGCTCCGGCCACCTCACTCACCAGACGAAACGCGAAAGTATTTTTATACTTCGACTTTACGCCGGTCTTCCGTGAGGTCGTGGTACTTACCCAGACGGGCCTGCTTATATTATACGAATGAGGAGGCCTGTCCACCGTGGGGAGGGCAGTAGTTTTCTGGACGAGTCTGCAACAGTAGAAATTGCTTCATGGATTTATACTATTTATATGTCACGTTTGCTTCAACACTATTGTCCAATTCTTTTATCTTACTGCCATTAGAAGCTTTTAAAGCAATTAGTGGGTTATTAAGAGAAGTGTTATTTAATTGGCGGGTCGCATTGATACAATCCAATTGTTGGAAGTTATCTCGCCTATCAATTGCGGGTTGTCTTATCGAAATAGCCCACAAGGCTGACAGTTCAATTGACAGCATACACACTGTTTACCCATTTTCTATAGTTACGTCATGATAACCAAACGGACCATTATATAGGTTTCGAAGCTTAAGGCTATAGTTTAAAATTTAGGTCGTACAATAGAGTTTCATATCCTGGATTATTCTTACTTGAAATAAAAAGGAAATAAGTTCTAAATAAAGACGCATATATGTGTTGAATTTTCACAGATTTTTATCTGTTATGCGACTGTGTACCGCTTTATGATTTTTTCGACTGTATTATAAAGGCCAGTGACAACATATCAGATGTAAGAATGCGAATAAAGTATTTAATATATACTTAATTATAGAATAGCTTTTATTATTTTTCATAGTTTTATGTGAGTCATAACAAAACTATCAATAGTAAAGCTTAAATAAACAATTTGAACTATATAATTGTATATACATAAAAAGTTAGTAAAACGTCTTTCGATCGCAGGTTTCCTGTTAAATATGTCTTTATCAATTTACCCTTAGCTGTACATTTACGTCGTCACTTTGACGTAAATTATCGGCGTGTCCAATCGATGGTTGTCATGACCAGAGGGCATTAATTTGAGGACGTCCGGTTTTATGGGTAAGGAAACGTACAGGGCACTGGCAAGCGCCTTGTGCAACCCCGCGGTTTCATGCTTTTTATTAATTAGTTACTGTGATTGGACAGCGATCATATTTGATTTCTTGTTATATTTGCGAAATGAATTATTACTAAACGAAATTATTTGTATTATGATCTGTTATTCATTTCATGAAAAATATTTGATGTGACGAATTTTAAACGAACGTTATAATCTACATAAAAATGGAATTTATTAATAAATCGTAAGTATTCAATCTAATAGAAAGTTATATTGGAGCTATAGGATTTACTCGTACTGCATTGTTACAATTGATACGTGTATAATGAATTATAATTTTCATATATAACAAAAAAAAATTTTAAGTTATTATTTTTTTTAATAATACTGTTGTCATTAATCGTTAAATTGGCTGTATAATTGCTTCTCGTTATTACAATGCAAAGGGCATGGGCGGTTGTTTCACCCCAGTTGTTGTCACCGCAACCAATAATCCACGGGTGGTAA